TTTTTTCCTGTGTCATATATGGCAGCGCTGTTCAATGTTTCTTGAATACATTACCCACTGTAGTATGTGATGTGTGAATAAACTCCAAATCTGTGTCAAGCTGTTGTGTGCATGTAGTCAGAGGAATGGTAACTGTGTGTGTTGGGAATGGGACGATGCTGGAGAAACTGGAAAGCATTTAAAAGTCATAGAGTCCAGTTTAATCCCTGTTACACAAACGTTAGCTGAAAATCTTGACCTCTGCGTTACCTCTGGCCTCCATCATGGATGAAAAGTTTCTTTTTCTGTCAAGGGCTGAAGTCAATGTTTAGAAAAGCTGCTCCTGTATTTATGACTTGATAAGAGATTTGACCACCTTCCTGTAAAATGAGGATGGTTGCTTATTTTTAGTATGAATGGGGACCCCCACCTTGAGGGGAAACAAAGTGAAGGTTTCCACAGTGTCTGAGAGGCCGAGACGGAGGGCTTCAAACACATGTGGGGGGGGTAGGCCTTATATAAGGGCAGAGTGATTGAAGCCTCGCACAGGGGAGTGAATATACAGAGGCCGCTTAGAAGTGCGTGCAAAGGTTCCCCAGGGGCCACGGATGGGGCAAAGGAGCGAGGGAGTCAGACAGAAAGAGGGAAAGAGCGAGCAAGTGTTCATCGCAGCCTCCTGACGCTCTTCCTCCTCTCGCACCCGGGTCAGTCGGCCCCCAAGGTGCAGCAGTCTGCAGCCATGCAGAAACACTCACACTCTTGTCCCCTCCACTGCTCCCAACCCGAGGACGCCCCAAACCAAAGCCTAATTTGCAGCACATGCGTCAAAGTTTTGCCTCCCCCCCCACTGCCCCCTCAACAACCCTCCACACACAAACACACACACACACACACACACACACACACACACACACACACACTCCAACCTCCTCCCTTCCTCCGCACTGCTGAAGTTAACGTTTTTCCACCAGCTCTTGCTACAGTGAGATGCTAAATTTGTTTTTGCTCACAGCACCAAGTGTGAGTGAGTCAGCCCCCCCCACCCTCATTTTCACTCATTTAGGAAAGTGTGTGTGTCGGGGGGGACAATTGCTTCCGTTTAGTTCTGGGCTAAAGTTGCAGATCAGCTCCTTCTCAGAGGAGTGTATGGCTCTGCTTTATGCTTAGTGCATACACACGTTTTACTTTTGAACCATTGTTTAAGTCCTTCATCTTTGGATTTGGACTTGAGTAAAATCAGGCTGTGATAAATGCAGTAGGAGCAGAATATTAAGGGGGAACCCCTCTGTGTATCAGTGTTTGAACACTAGGTGGCAGTGTCTGACTTTTTATCACTGATAAAGTGGCTACAATCATTGCATCGCCTGAGCAAAATAATGAAATCTGGTTCGGTAACAATACAAATGCAGGCCTCAAAAACATTTGACTTAAACTCAATGATTCTGGGCTACATGACATTGCACAGATGATCTTATTGCTTTCATAACAGTCATGGAGAAGTAAGTGGAAACACTAAACTGTCAGAACCGATTAGAGGGAACATTTTAGGTGAGGCCACGATGTTTCGGACAAACTAAGACTTTCAAAGCCAATAATCCGAAAACTGCTTTTAGTTTAATTTTGGCCTCTGCTTATATACAGGAGAACTTTGTTGCTGTGTGAGGAAAACCCCCGACATCATAAACATGCTATCTGACTCAATGAGCTACAATTCATCACTGGCACCTCAGTGTCATCCTCACCTCCCTGCATGGCGCCCTCCTCTCTAATTACTGCTGCTGACCAGTTTCACCTCCACCTTTATACTTCAGAGTGAAGCAGTTACTCAGTGTCTTGCTGGACTGCACCCCCCGTTCAGCTCTAAAGCCCAACTGTATTTCCATTTGTTGCAATAAATGGTTTAATCATGAAACGTGTTCCTGACAACACTTGAACAAGTTTGATTTCTCTCAGAGTTTCATGTTTATGTCAGTGGCCCATTAATAAAAAAAAAAAAAATGCAGCCTTGCTGGACACATGTAACCATCCAACCACATTCCCAGTCACAGAGGAACGTCTGTGGACTTCCCTTTGCCCTTGGCTGTCACTCAACTAACGAGAAAGGCTTCCAGGTTTCGATTTTCCGAGCCCAAACCAGGCGGTGCCGTGTAGCTCCCACCTCTGGCATTGACAAGGTTGTCACCTTCACCTCTGCCCAGCCAATAAGCCATCACAGCTGTCCCGGCGTGTCTGCTCACTGAGCGTTGGAGGGACAGGGAAGGACAGGCGGAAGGAAGTGCTCCTCCTCCTCCTCTCTTTGTCCTGTATGGAGGACCCGGTGGCACCGGCGCTGTGGTTTCTCCCGCTCAGCAGGTGCTGACTTTTATCAGTAGTGACATGAATGTACAGAACTGCCAGGGCGCATCCACCCAGCTGCTGTCAGGTGTCGTTCCCGCTAACACTCCACCTAGCCCCTGACCTCACAGGCACCCGGTGCGCCTGTCTGTTCGCCTGCCTGCCTTGGCTCCCACTGCACACCTGCACAGACACACACATACACACACACATACACACACACATGCACAAACATCATACACCTACTCAGATTAAAGTCGTTCCCACCAACAGGCCCGAAAATATTGAGTTTGTGGCTTCTCATGCACACATCAAGAGTTGCAGTGCTCTGAGTAAAGTCTCATGAGACACTGTGATGGCTTCACTGGCACAAATGATGAACGCCCAGGTGTTTGTTTCTTTTTCTTTTTTTTTTGACTCCCCCTAAAGTGTGCCAGCCCACAGGTAGAGACAACACCCCCGCTCCCTCTAAAACAAATAGGCCCACAGCCTGTGAAGCTCCTGATGAGGAATTTCACTGCCTCCAGGCCAGAGCAGCATTTGAATATTTCATATCTGAGTCAGAGTTATGAGATGACGCTGAGGTGTGAAAATATAATGTTTGACTCTTGGCTTGAGGGAGGCGAGTGTGGTCACTGCAGAAAGGAGGTCAAGGTTAAATTTGCTCTGTGGATATAAATAGCTCCTTCAGCGATGTCCCCCTGATCTCACCGTTATTATTTATTAATCGTTGCCATGATCCGGGGAGCACATCCGGCCTCAGACATTCAGCGGAAGACAATGACGAGAGAAGGACGAATATCTTAATCTGAATTTCACAGGGTTGCAATTAGGGCCGTGTATTTTTGGGGCTGTAGTGAATCAGGCCTATTTGTTCTGAGTAAAAAGATTTCATTGGCCTTTTGTTAAACTGCTGTATTCAGGATTGCTGATGCTGGTCTTTATACCACCGTCATCATTGCCAGGGTAAATCACCGCTTGTGTTCCCGACATGACTCTGCCTTTTGTTAAGTTTCTTTTTTCTTTTTCGACATAAATTCTCGTTTCCATAATTAATTTTCACCACGAGAACCCAAGGCTTGACAAGTAACACTGCACATACCAATAAAAGAGTGTTATTTGGCCGGGAAATGGTTCAACATGTCAGAAGTTGAAAATAATCAACTCTTCTGTCTTGGCTCATTCACACAATCCGCTCCTTCTGTTGCTCCTCGGTTTCATCCCTTCTCTAAAGTGTCTGCACAGTCTTCAGCTTCACGTCCTCTGCAACTTTCAAACCTCTCGTCCTGCAAATGACTTGTTGGCTGCGTTATAGCTCACGTACGCTAAAACGTACATCACAGGCTCCTTATGTGAATATGGATTCAGTTCAATACCTGTTTGTTCTTCCTTCTCTTCCCTTTTTCAGTGCGATGCTGCCGCTCATTTCAAAACTGAAACAAAGTATTTCTTTGGGTTTTCTGTGGACTGGCCAAGTACCCCCCCCATAGAGGTGCTGCTGTCCAGAGGTCAGAGTCTGCCTCTGAGCTGCTTGTGGAAGT